CAAAGAAAGGAACAGATCTTGAACCTGCATCTTTAGAAACCATGTGTTGTTACAGATGATCTGAAGATTGTCTATTAGCAGTCGACATCCATGGCGGAAATTATGATATTGTTAGCACGCTATTGAATACTTAATGAACTACGACATGTAACTAAAAGAAAGGGAGTGCTTATAATCAGAAAATCGAAATCAACCAATTTATCGTAAAGCTGTAGTGAGCCGTCAATGTTGGTAACTGTGTAAGTTAATATCAAGGTAAATGGCTAAAGTAGGAGAGTCTGTAGTGCACTTGATTTCAAGCTCAGGAGGGCGAGTGCGATCGATAAATTTCTTGGTATTCAAAGCCAGTACATCGTCGATATATCTGAATGTGAAATTGACGGAATTGCTAGGTTTCTTTTTAACCAGTCCTGATAAGTCCGTCAATAAATTTCAGCCTTATATGAAAACACAAACAGGTCGGTTAGAAAGGTTGCACTGTTCCCATAGGAATGTCTACATTCTGCTAGAATATTTGCCACCGACGAACTCAACGAATGATGCTGTCAACAAGGAACTCAATCATTCGCATCCTTTCATTCTCAGTACTCTCAGTAATTTCATTCTCAGTCCATTCCATTTCTCAGTACCTTTCATTCTCAGTACATTTCATTTTCGGCCTTCGTAATGTTTTTCAGAAAATTCGCTCCAAAATAATTACCAACCAAATATGTTATGTACAGATGTATTCACGACAGATATCATAAAAAGAGACCGAAAGCGTTCCCTCAGTTTGGTATACTGAACAGAAGATTTTTTGAATTCGGTATTAAATATAGTAGTATTAAGTTTTGAAAATGGCTTAGTTGAGGAACTAGAAGAGCAAGTGATAAAACGTTGTTTATCAGGAATTTTATGACGTGTCGGAATTATCTTACTGAAACATTCAGCTCGACATTTCTGTTTACGTACGATGATATTATTAGTTAATTAATTCGTGTAGACATTAAAAAAAAAAAATCTTCTTACCCTTCCTTCTAGATTATTACAAATATCTGCATCTTTCCTGGGGTTTTTTGGGGGGTTTTCCGTATAATGTCAATTCATAAACTGAAGTTTTAACAACTCCACACTGCCAACGTTAACATTTGTTTGAAAAGGTAAAAAATCTCACTATTGACAGATAAAAAGGGAAACATCTCTACAGTTTACGATAAGTCCTACGGATAGCCAACGTAATGTAAATCTTTATATTCTGTGCTTATTAAACAAATGTCATCTGTTTGTATTGGTAAATCTGCTATTTCTACACTTGTTCCACTTGTCTCTGTCCGATTTAGTTATTAAATGATAAACACGGGATGGACTCTTTCTGAGGAAGCACAGTCTTGTAAACATCTCTCTGTATAATGTTATCTTTGTCCAGATTCTGTTCAAATTCAACTCTTTTTAGCACATTTTTTTTATAAGAAAAATCATTTGCAAACGATTACAATAAAATAATCAATAAAAGCTTATTATCTGTACCTTATACTGAATACCCCCGGTAACCTATATCAAACAGGGTGAAGGCGTTATATATTTCTCGGTTTTAATTACTGTTTGATAAATAAGAAGGTGTGAAGCATGATCTTTGTTATTCCATGATTACTCAACGCAGAATTAAAAAATACATTCAATAGGACAACTGTACTTTATCTTGTGCTTTTGTAAAAATAAAATTTAAAAAAATGAAAAGATAAACGCTTGATTCATACTCAAATCAGTTACAAATTTAGCAAAGTTTCTGCATTTTAGGAATGCTTAACATACCTCTAGTAACTGAGTCCAGGCCATTCTAAATTTTACGAAACAATTAAAATTAAGATACATTTCCATTTGATTATCCTGTTTTATATTTTGCATATCAAATAAACCATGTCCAATCCTGGAATAGTGAATATATCTACCCTTGTGCTGCTTGTTGTTTGGTTGAAGTCAGCAGTGGAGTTGTGTTTTATTTAATTTATAAATGTATACAGACTCTATGTGACATCGTTTTGAATGCTCTTATAAGAGAACTGCCGGACGCCTGATGTAGCTGTTATTGGAATCTTATTGAATGAATGGAAGTTGCAATATTATATTGTAACATTTATTAAAATAGTTCTATTCTAAAAGAAAACTTGACTGCTCTTTTCCCGTTATCCAATGTATGTTTACAGAACTAATGCACATGTTTAAAGATTAACAAAACTTTTAATGAATGAAGGAACATCGATATATTCACAGTTTTGATTTTATCTTGTCTAATGTTATATTTTTAAACAATTTCCAAAATCAGTTTGTTCGATCCTACTTGAAAGCTATATATATCAAATGTTACCTTAAGTATTTTACGGAATTCCATTCTCCCTTACCTATATCTATACAATAGGACCTATGACTACTAGCTAACCTCATAGTTCAATAACGTTCTGTATGCCGGGTAATTTAACCGATTCCTCATTTGAGTAAGGTTTTTAAATACTTCCGATACTTTACTGTAGGTAACGGCTTTTTACCAGCATTAATAATTCCAAACATGTTACCATAGTAGTATTTAGCAATACAACAGCTGGTATTATATGGTGGTGGTGGTGGTGCTGGTGATGGTGGTGGTGCTGGTGGTGTTGCTGGTGTTGCTGGTGGTGTGGTGGTGCTGGTGGTGATGGTGGTGTGGTGGGGTGGTGGTGGTGAAATACTATGGCAAAAAGGAAGGACTGCATTGAAATGTTCAAAAAAGGGACAATCATCCAATGCTATTTTATATACTGTCACCAATAAATAAAGTTCCGGCTCCTTTGGTACCTTGCTATTTAATAAGATCAATTAAAACAATATCAACACGCGATTTCCCGCAAATTGTTAATCAACAACTTTTAGTTATGATATTCTATTTATTTAAAAGCTGTTAATGGTATGTCATGATCGATACTTTACTCACACTGTACATATTATTTGTAAGTATATGAAAACGTGCGTAAAGTACAAATGATGTCGAGCTATCTCCCTGAGCGCGACCTAGGGTCACGTGGTGATTGTATAGGGATTTTATTGGTTAGATTTATGATAGTGATACAGGAACAACGCCTAACACTTTATTATTTGTTGTTCTCGCCAAATGGCTTAAGCTATAAAATGTGCACTTGGATATCCAGTTAAAAACACTAATATTTTCAACATGAAAGAGTTTTGAAATTAACAGCTCAAAATGATATGATGGAAAATAGACGTGCGGAATGATTTATTGTTCGTTGATTTGTTCAAACTTAATGGTTCATACTTTACTTCTTCCTTCCGTTAATAAATCACTTCATATCAAATATAAAATGTATAAATATTAATGGAAATAATAACTGAGGGAGGTGCCCGTTAACATTTTGCTCTTTATGATGTTTTCTTTATATACTTTTATGATTAAATGAATGACCATATTGTAGGGAACAATTTCTCCAATTGTCAAGTTTTCTACTAAGTGTTTTTTTTAATTCGGTATAGCTGACATTTTAATTAAACATGGGTTATATTGGCGTTAATTGTCACTTGAGTGAAACTATGAAATATATATATATATATCGCTGAGTATAATCTTAATATTCGTATAAGTGGGGCAAGTGTACTCCAATTTGATGTAAGCATATAAAAATGATCTCGGGATTTTTATCAATATCTTGTTTACCAGCAATGATATCGTTTGTAGGTTTGAACCACGCGACCACTTCATAGCCCCAGCTTCTTTATACCCACCGCCAGTTCCCTTTTATCTGTATGGTATTCGCTTCTTGAGTAAAAAATAATCTATGGATCATATCGAAATGTCAGTAGAAAATGGACCAATCCGTCTTTCAGAGAACATTTTGAAGGGTTTTGCACTCTTTGACTCCTTATAACCCCGCTTCTTAATCTTTTGGGTGATCAGCTCCTTCTTGATTCTATATACCAATCCTGATTATCAATGACCATTTCATGCCGTGTTGGTCTAAATTTATGGGGAACTTCCAGATAAAGTGCTTTTTGTTTTGCGCTTTATACCTTCGTTATGACCCCACCTTTCAGTCCCCTGGACATCATTTTCTTTAGTATGGATTCTGATATTCATTATCTAATGAATAATTTATCAATGAAAGACAAAAAATCTCCAATAAAAAGTCTCATAGGAAATTGGAATTTCAGTTGGAGGTTTTGCATTTTGTGATCCAAATATAAGTTGTGGGGACCGGAGAGCTGGAACAGCACCTCTTGATAATGGATTCTGATTCCCGTCATCTATGTGCGTAATATTGGTTTAAATCCATCACTTACTTTCAGAGGAGAAGTCTTTTGAAGGTTTTTGTACTAATTTACTCCATAAGGTTCAGCCCCCTCTTGAGTTTCAACTCTTAACTTTCGTCGTCTACTGATCACGAAATTCAGAGATATCTTTCGAAACTTTGCATCGAGTAACCCCTAATGGTCATCTCAATTTCCGAATCTAAATTCCTATCCTAATCATCTTTGGATTATCTTAAGATATGTTGGTCAAAATCTAAAGGTTATATTAGTTTTAAGCAGTTTTGCAATCTGTGACCCCCTTATGGCCCCATCTCTCAGGTCATCCTGAAATGAAGTGGAAAATCTGTTTTTGCATGACGATGTGCCGTCAGGAGGCAATCACATAGGTCAGCCAAGTCACTCAGGCGACCTTACATAAAGCAACAAAAACTGTCCAGGCTAAGACAGTGGCGCTGTTTGTAGTCTTTGTTTGGAGATGCTTAGTAAAAGGGACATGGTATTGTAAACATACTGTTATGTCGGAAATTCATTTAAGGATTGAATCTTGTTTTGATCGATTTCATGGGGTGATGAATTGGGTTGGTCTTGAATCAAACTCAACATGAACTGCTTTGTAGTTCATTAAATATTTTCCAAGACCAACTTAATTCATCACCCCATGAAATCGACCAAAGAAAGATTCAATCCTTAGATATTATTCAAAAAGATAACAAACTATACTATTTTTTGCAGAATTTTATTTTGAAAGTTTACTACATATTTGTTGCAAACTTTTTTTCCTATTTTAGAATTAAAATACCTTATAACAATTCATTTCTTACATAACATTAGTATACCATACCAATAAGACATTAAAATGTCATATTTTGTACAATCATCATATAAAGTCAGAAAAAAAAGTTTTTTCTTCTATTGATATGATTAAACCCATTTAGATTCTTCAATTGAAATACAAAAGGAAATAATATTTCTTGAATTTTACAACCAATTTCTAATATTTGCTATAAATTGAAGTTGAATTAATGAAAGTAACGATACACAAAATGATAATGGAACTGTGAAGCGTACAAGAACAACGCTAATTATTTTGTGGCTACAAGTGTGTTCATTTTGAAATTGTCTTTATAGAGCATGTCCAGTTTTAATCTGGATTACATTTCTTCGTTACTAAAAATAAGATTGATTTGCAGTTTGTTCCAAGTATAAGCACATGAGCATAGGACACCATTTAATATGAAAAGACAATTTAAACATTTTTGTCAGAAGTCTGATCAAGTAAACCTGCAACAAGGAAAGGTCTTGGTACGGTCTCTTCATGTTGTCAATACTAGCGAAGATTGATGAGCTTTGAAAATGTATGCTAAATTCTCGAGATTAAATTTTAAATTAACATAACTTTACATGTCTGGTATATCTTTTATGGTTGATGATAGGCATTATATGATCAGACTAGAGTCAAAACAATACAGAGCAGTACAAAAACAAAATACATATCACAGGTGCTTTACTTGATTGATCACTCCCCCCTTACCTAGTTATTCTCAGACTTCATTTATAAAACGACTTACTTTTAGTGCTATGATATATAGTACCAGTAAATGTACTAGTATATACTGAGTTGTTCTACTGAAGTTCGACAATTAATTTAGGGGGAGAGGGGCCAATCAATTGCAGAACCTCTCATATATACCACTGATCTGAATTTTAAGTGTAAAGAGCAGGTAAAGCATAACATAGGCATAACAAGTCAAAACAGTCAAGAAATTGATATCAATTCATTTTTTTCAGACGCTTGAATTTCATGGTAACTTTGAATTTGCAAGCCACACATAACATATGCAAATAAATATTGAAAATGTTACACCTGAAACAACTTTGTTACTGCAGTAACGTCAGTGTGGACATCAATACCCTCATTGCACGTGTGTGAATTACATATGAATGATTTTATGATATAAAAATACTAACAAAAACATGTTAATAGTTATCTCCCCTTTATAATAGAATCAATCCAAACCAGGGGATTGTTACATAATGAATAGAATCCTTATTGTTTTACCAATATTTCTTGATATTTTCATTTACATTTCAAGTTAACCTTATAAACTATTGTCAGTATATATATATATATATATATATATATATATTTCAATCTACATTTCTTTCAGCATGAACAGTTGTACTTTGTTGATATTTCATAATTTACATTTTAAAGCTGTATGTTAAACTAATTGTTCTTATATAACAACCAAATCATCATTTAATAAGTAAAACCTAGTCTCCCAAAATTTCACCAAATCATCAAAATGTTTGAGAATTCTTTTTGAATAGGAAATAACTAAATCCTTTGCACAAGGAATGTAGGTGTCAAATGGTTTAGTCACTCCAGAACATGATGAATGTTTTTCAGTTGATTGTTCTGGACAAATCCCAGTTGGTATACATAGGGTGGGATGAAAAGAGTGCGTTACCAAATTGTTGTAAGTATCCATTTTCCATCACCATTTTATTCAGTAGAAATCATCCTTTGACACTGGAGATTTTCATTGTCCAATTTAAATAAATCTAAAGTATAACGACAATTTCATTTTCCTATAGACCCGACTCTGTCTCTTGGTATAAGTCTCAATTCTGATCCATGCTTCAAAAACACATTTCCTGGAATGAAAAAAAATAATGATATTAAACATCAGAAATAACACATTCAAAAATCCTTTAATACTATGTATGTATATACATTATGAAAATGTCATTTAATGAAGCTACTGACAATTAAATAATTTCCTCTTCAATTTAATCTTTTTTTATGTCACTTCATTATCTTTGAACATGGAAATACGGTACCAAATGAAGTGGTAACATATGATAATGAAATCTTTTAGTCAAAATATTAATGGTACATAAGGCAGAGGAAGCACTATCTGAATAAGTTATTGTAAAGTATGTTGAATTATAAACTTTTTATCATGATAAGCAAAGACCCTCAAATAATAAACAGGTTAGTTTTAAATTTTGTTTGATATTCCACTATTTCTCAGAAAGTATTTGATTTTATAATGATCCATCAGTATATTAACTGACTATAGGAAGTTTATTAACCTGTGATCTGAACAACACGTAAGATATTAATCATGTATAAATGAATGGATTGATGTTCAAGTCTTACCAGCACTCTGTGCCGGGTTGATCCCGATTCCATCGTTTGTTATAATAGCACTAGTGGCTGCTGGTACCTTGAACTGGAAAAAAAAGGATTTCTTTACATTGAGTAAATAATAACAAATAGTTGGTATCATCACAGACTTAGTCTAATTCCGTGGTACTATCCGGTCTGCCAAAACCATAACATACATTTAATACATTCACACAAGTAAATGATATTTACACAGCCCAAAATAATATTCCTGCTGACCTAGCCCTTTTTTTAGGTGAAACAGGAAACACACCTACATATTTACTCATTTAACCCTATGTTAATTGATACCTCCATATGATCTAATAGGTAATTGTGCTCAGAGGTCAGATGTCATGACATACAAGTTCAATGTTATTTCTGATTCCTATAAGGATACCTTTATTGGAATGAGTAAAAACTAACAAAGCAGTAGAATTTCAAGACATCCATAAATTCAAATGGTGTAATATTATCATTAACCACGAAACAAAGCAGTATTTGCTCCGATATCTAAGATATGACTAAGAAACATAAACCATCAACAAACACCAAAATCAAAACAAACTGCAACTTCTGCATATTGTTAACTTAATGGAAACCTTTGTCATCTAAAGAGTGGAATAATCAGCTAAATAAATATTTTCCCTTTTTCATCTGTTATGCAAGTATAATGTACATTATGGCAATGAGGTTAGACAACTTTAACTGTTGCTACACTGAACATCTTAAAAAAACAAATTCTGCTGTTGATTTTTTCAAGCAAGAACATTACTCTATAAAAAGATTCAGTATGATTTCAAATTTCAGACATCTGTTAGTTAGCACTTTATTTTTCTTAATATAAGGTTGTGAGAATATTTAAGCGGAGAGAGCAGTTTAATGAATGTAGGAGTTTTGTTGTGTTGATATGCATCATAAGACTACTATTCAAAATATTTCATTCTTAATATTTCATTATTTTAAGATGCCCCGGTATTGTAAAAAGAAAAACGCAGGTAAAACTTGATAACTGGATTTGGCAACAATTGTTTAAACCTAGTACAATAATTTCTCCTCATAGAACGCCTACATGCAAGATGGTGTAATTATGATCAGACTACATATTACCTCTTCTGCAGCAAACTTGAGTACAGCTGTGAAAGGAGTTCCCTCTGGTACGCTAAGACTGCAACAAAAATGTCAAAATATACGTTTGTTTTTACACATCGACTAAAACCAACCAGCAAGCAGTTCAGTTATAATAAGTTGCGATAATGTGGCTTCTGATGAGGATTTTTTTCACATTTTGGGCTGAGACAGTGAAGGCGGGGTATTAACAGTACTAGGTTATAGCAAAGAGTAAACAAGCGCAATATTACAGCTTACTTTTAGCTTTCTAAATATCACTCATCAAATAAGTGGCTAATCTTACTAAGAATACAAGACACATATGAATCCTAGGTCTCAGCAGTTATAACTAATATAATTATAAGTATAGTTTATTACTAGGCCTATGTGTAAAGTGTTTTGTAACATGATCATAAAGCAAAAGATATTTATAATCCTTCACCTATCTTATCCTGAAACACATCCCTTGATTTGGGCGTTCGGTCAGTACGTCAAACTCGGTGTAAGTTGATTTATGTGTTTAACAGATAAATGATTTAGACGGGATATACTAGACAGTTAAGAAGTATCAACTATTGTGCCACTTGAGTGATCTACATATCACCATATGGACTAACTTCCCACAGCATAGGACAGTAAAACTCACACTTTGTATGGCAGTTTTGGATCCGAAGTCAAAATTATCTTGAATGTAACTTTAGACCTGAAATAGTAAGAAATACAATGACATATATAGAATAAGTATGAAGCTACAACACTGACAATAAAGGATAAACTTGGATAAAGTGTTAAACGTGCTTACATCTCGGCTTTCCTGACACGCAATACCGGAAGTGGAATTCCCTAATGTGACGTCAAAATTAACATGTGAAAAGAAAGGGCGGTGATAGATTTTTCTTTTCCTAAAGAAAATAGTTGGCAATATTTCCCTTAAGGTTAATAATCGTCATCCAATCAAATTTAAGACGCATTTTATTGGCACTTAATAAACAAAAGATACTGTGGTGCCACCTATCGGGAACACCACTTTACGATTCTATATTTAAATGCCTGGATCATGTGACAGGTGCTAGTTGGATTTTCTATACCGTAAAGAGCAGACGGTCCGAAATGGCAAGATGCCGAGTGTTAGCTGTTGTGTGTTTTCTGTCAATATTTGTGATATCTGCCACGGACAATCTTAGTGGCCTAACTTTTAGTGAAGATGACGTGAAGAAGGCAGACGCAGAAGAATTACCAACGTGGCTTCAAACATGTAAGTCTTGTTATCTCTCACATGTGTACAACCGGGAGGTGTGTCAGTAAGTTGTAAAGCTTGCATTCAAAGTCTATCAGAATGGATCCAAAATGATAATAATGATAAAAATATATACGATTTTAAAAGGAACCACGTCTCCTTGATTTTTTGAGGCATCACATATCACATTAACAGCAAATATTGGACGAAATCAGTAATTTAAAGGTTATTTTTATATGTCAGATTTATTATGTATAACCAGAGACGTATATTACAGTTTTATATGTCTCTGGTATAACTATAAAACTATATATAAACAGATGTGAACAGTATAAGACCCGCGAAATAAAATGTCGTACTGATTTGATAAGATTATATGTTTATATTGATGCTGAATTATATAGAAAAATATATACATAATACAATATCTTGCAATCATGACTATAAACGATAAGTGATTATCATCAGGAGTGGAGCACTAAATTCTTATAATATTAAAATTTACCCAGTTTTATGCATACCTTTATTCAACACTAGTAGTACAATGGGCATTGCTCTAAAAATAATTGGTTACCTTTCCCCGTACAATTTGCATTTGTATCATACATTTGTTATATACTAGTCCGTATGGATCAGCTCTAGATCTACTGTATCTAAGTGAGAAATCACCCCTGACCCCTGGAAATATCTCCCGTCGGTACTATCTATCTGCTTGTACTGATAACCATCGGAAAGGCCACAAGGTACCCGGGTCCGTACAGATTGGCTTCTCTCGGCTCTTTCCGTGACCGACAGATTAATGTATTGAACTTTTGAAGAAACTCATTTTATTGTTTTTTTACACGAAAGGGTAAACAAAATATTAATTACATCTTATATAGTAATAGTTACCCCACTAATACGACCATGGTGCTTACAAAATTTGTCCTAATTAACATCAAATCATCGCTAGCATTAATGAAAAAACTAAAAAAAAAATCTATATTTTTCCATAAGCTTCTACCTTGATCTATGAATCTATGACATAGAAAAATATTGATTCAAGTAAAAAAGATATTAAAGTGGTATTTCCATTGACCAATATTTGAAAGAAATCAATTACCCAGAAGACATATATAGATTTTTCGGCAAAAACTTCATCCTGAAAAATTAGTCAACACTTCCGATTTTCCTCTTGGATAACCAGGACTTGATTTGAGCATTGATACTCGGACCAGCGAGGAAAATATGTGGGAGTCCCAGCATATTACAATAACTTCAATCGATTGGAGCAGGCATAGTTTTATAGCAGATGAATGTCTACTGGAGTCATATTCAGTTTCTAAAGATTATGTGCTAAATCGCCGTTATGATTATAACTTACATGGTACTACTCATGTGTTTAAGCTAATAAACCAAATCCATGTTATACTATCTGTGTAAGTATACAAGTTTATTATTGATCAGGTGTTAGATCACAAGATCGTCACTTTCAACTAATTGCTAACATTTCCTCGCCCTATAAGGGAAACTTGTTGCACGTTCGCTGGTCTGCTATGACTCCTTGAGAATGGTTCCTTTTGTATTGATAGTTACGGTATATCAGATTTTAAAATCCTAAAAATAATTCAGTTGATTTCACAACATTTATCCACAACTTATTGAATTTGTGTAATAGCTGCCGAAATATCGGCGAATATATTTGAAACCATTAATTATATGGAAAAAAAGGATAGCAGTGGATGATACCTTCGGGTATCTCTAGAGGCGTCAAATCTACACGTGTAAAGGGATTTGTATTTCAACCCTGTACGCTGTTATTGTGTTAAGTAAAAAAATTGACGTCACATCGTCTTTTTCACAAAAGGATATTAATTGTCCTCGACTACCATCGATTCATTGTCAATAGTACTGAACTAGTTTGATCGGGCAATGACTATATATGTGACTGTAATGAATCAAAGCCATGTGGAATGACCTACCTTGATATAGTAGTACCTACCCAATATCACCACTAAATACTTTGCTTTGCTCTCTAAACTTCAAAGTCCACAAACAATTGATTCCTTCTGTCAATAGCTAATGACATTATGTAAATAGACGGTACAGGGTCAAAAACTGGGCAAGTTTAGTATGTTTTGAAAATCCTTTATATGCATATGTCGGTTTCAACGGTGTAACAGTACATGTCACCGTCAAAAACGCATGAAAGTAAAAAGTTCTAATATCAAAAAGGACAGCGCAACGAACGGTTCGAAGATTTGTCTTCAAGATCCCAGGTTTGTCTATGCATCCCCTAATTATAGTCACTTGACATTCTGAAAGAAGCTGGAAACGCGTTTAAACGAGAAAGAACACGTACAATCTCATAGAGTTGCTACGAACTTCATAGAAACCCCAACGAGTGACTTTATATGATTTCTAGCTACTATTATTACCACGCACCCTGCACCCTAATGGATGCTTATATGAATGGAGACAGAGTGTGCGTATGGTCAAATAGAGTATTTAACACAGCAGACCGCAATATTACCTACCAGACTTATCATGTGGGGTGAGGTTTCATGGTATATCTGTGTGTTAAATAAGGTACAGGGCCGTACCTATCACCTGTGTTTCCCACATCACACCTATTGAGACGAGGTGTGCTTTACCGCTGATCCACCCGACCAGGTAATGACTGTGTTACGCTCCCTGTATGATGTACGACGATTCTCTCACTTTTTATAAGTGAAACCAAATTGTCACCTAAATATATTCAATGTATCCTGTTTAATGCTCTCTTAAAGTTGCACGGACTTTTATTTATGATAAACTAAAAGGAAATATTCTAAAAGGTAGATAATTACCCGTTTGTAGGTGTATATGTACCCACCAACATGTGTATATTTACACTTTTGGTCTTAAGTCGATAATCAATTTGAATAACCATGAATTATTAATGTCGTTGATTTTAAGACTTGTATACACTTTAAGGTGACTCACCATTTAGTTTTAGAGTATACTCTCAAATATAAAATTGTTGAGTTCTGTTACCTCTGGGTAATATACCGAGTTCGGTTTCTGGTCGACTAATGCAAGAAAGCAATGACGAATTTTACACTATTAGTGTAGTAATATTTCAGAGCAAGCCTGCGTTAACTTAGATCAGAGAAGTATATATCACAGAATATGTAGGTTTCTGTTTAGATGGAGCGTTACAAAATAGTCCAACGTTTCTCCGACCTTTGAATGACTTATTTTAGCGTCACAAAATAAAACTCAAAGACGATACATCATTAACAAATGACACACCCTTAAAGTAATTCTCTAATTTGCTTGAAATGATATCTGAGTTGCCATTCTATAAAAAGTAAAATAAACAACTAAAAAAACCGAAAATATAACATACAATGTAGATAGGGACCAAAGAGATTAGGCACAAAAAAACACTGGGGAGATATATCACAACATTTTTTAATTAAGTGAAATAAGGTGCATGGAAAAGTTAACGTTTCCTGTATTACACGTATTATATCCATTGATGGCCCCCAAATCCATTTACATGTTTAGGTTACAACCACAGGTACTAGCCTCGTCTAATATTATATTATATTAAATTATAGGTGTATTGACAGACGAGGCTAGTACCTGTGGTTACAACAACCAAAGTGAATAATCAAAAGTCTGTCATCAGGGTACAGATTAAATTCTTATTGTTAAAAATGGAGTAATGAAAACGTCTGTAAACATTGCTGTGTATATTGACGTCACTCTGGTAGACAACCTTGGATTAATAAGAAATCTATTGATCAATCAACTACATGTACATACATGAGGAAAACAAAAAACGACAGCAAACTTACTGAAGTCGTTATAGCTGCCATTATCTATTACCATTTTCATCATATGATAGTTTAAAGTATGGCACTGACGACAAGAGGAGTTTGCGGTTATATTTCAAGCGCTGGAGGATAAGGAGATATTGCATAGGACATCTCTATTTATCAAACATATTGAAACGGTACATGAAGTTAAAACAGTTCGTCGAATCTTCTGATCAATATAAGGGATATGGATGGGGACATTTAACATTTATTGACAGATAATATGCTACCAGGGGCGTAGCTAGCCCTTATTTGGAATGGATTAATGTAGGAGAGGGTCCACGGCAGGACCTTGGTAGGGAGACAAGGGATGCCAAAAGAAATGTTTTTGTTTATTTTTTGTTTGTTTGAAATTTAGGGGATTCACCTACGTTCCAGCGTATAGGCAGCTACGCGGCTGGATAGAGATTCAGTGTCTAGACTGGTCCATCCATCTAGGCTAGTATTGATACCATAAGAAATGTACATTAAACTAGCACGTAACGCATTAAATACAACATACCGTACACTCGTGGTTGTATTGAGTGTTTATCTCGTGTCGATACTAACAGAAGATAGTGAGGCCGTTTATAAACGTAACTGGGTGTTTAGGTCGGAAATACGACCGGTGTCGTTTATGTAATTCGACACGAACTCCTCATATACTTGGATCACATGAAATCGAAACTGCTACACATTGATTAAAGATCTAGAGAATAGGATAAGTCGGGTTTTGTTGCATTTCATAATGTGGCAATTTAATAAAAAAAAGTTTCCATTTTCATTTGGGTTCATCAGAATGG